TATTCATGACCGACCTACTCCTTAGCTACTTTAATAAAAGCAGCTGCAGTGATGCAAGGAAAAAGCAGGCAAGGCAGGATTTGCCTATTCTAGACAAAACTAATTTTGCCTTAAAAATCAGTTTTGTCTGGAATAGGTAAATTCTGCCTCCTATTTTTTCTTACATGGCTGCAGCATGGAGATGGCCAAAAGCCTGGGCTGTGCAAGAGAAGCCCATTTATGTTGGTTGTAGCTGCTCACAACTAAGCAGGAAGAGAGCCATTCCACTTTTGAACACTTATCCTGGCATAAAGTGTTTAGAGATCCAGTGTTTATATTTATTTATAGCAGTACATACATTCAGCTTTTGATTGTTAGCATCTCTCTTCTCTACTTCTAGTCCATGCTTTCTTTTTACCTCTCTGTTTAGGCCATCACTTCATAGACAATCTTCAGTTAAGAAGTTTATCTTAGTTTTTTTCAGCAGCATCCTTTGACAACCAGATGCTTCTAGCCTTGACAGAGAATTCTGACAAAAAAAAGGCTTCTAGGTAAAATCAAGGAATAAAACTAAAATAACTCGAAAGTCACTGTGTTCTTCACAAGGCAAAAACCATCAGATACAAAGATCATGAGGCACCAGTCATATTAAACTCAAAGGTCACCAGCTCACAATACATTTAGGGTTTTTTGGTTTTTAATCTTATTCTATACCAAAATTTCCTTTAAAAAGTACGTACAATGTATTTTCTATCAAATTATCATGTATTAGTCTTTTGGAGCTTTTATGCTATAAAAAAGCTATAAAAATAGGTCTGCTAAACACAACATGTGGTTGCTTCTCTAAGCATTTGTCTGAGACCAAAAATGGACTAACTTTAAAATTGGTAGCTATGTTTGTTTCTCTCTCACTTGACAGTTTCCCCCTTGAGCTGAAAATTGCAAGGGAATGTCTCTTATCCTCTTGTTGAAATGTTTGTGAGTCTGATGGCAGGAGTTGAAAATTTTATATCACTAATTTAAATTATTTTTATATGGTATTGTTGCCCGTCCACCCCTGTGTAAGCTGTATAATTTTATGTATCTTTTGTGCTTCACAAACAAGTCTGTTGTACTGTTTCTGCTGCCAACGAAGTTTAGCAGCATTTTAACTCAGGTGAGGGGAATAGGCAGGCATCTCATGTGATGCTGAGCCCTTGCCTGAGATTTGGGGCACTTTGAAAATGGATGTATGGAGCCATATTTGGCAATGAATTAAAAGTTAGTACTTGGAAGTAAGCATGTTGATCATGGGTTGTATTAATGGGGTGTGAGTATAACTTCGGCATTCTGAATTCATGTGTTCTTTCCTGTTTGTGTATGTTATTAGTTTTGTCTTATTTTGGAAAACTGGTGCCTTGTGATATAGTTTAACTCATTGCAAACCCTAGCTTAGGCATCTTAATATACATTTTGGGTTATTTTAGAGAATTTGGTAGGTTTTTCACAGAATCAGTAGCCAGACTATGAAATAAAAATATAGCTTGTAAATGAAATCAAGTATACATTATTGGAGTCTGCCTTTCTTTGTATGTATTTATTAAAGATTTTGTTTTTGTACTCATTTCAGTGAAATAAAGTACATACCCATGGACATGTATTCTTTGTGCCATAAATCAATCATTTCACTTGCTAGGAATCATGGTTGTGAACAGTCATAATCAGGTTTGTTGCATTGGATGGTACAGAGAATGGAATGAATAAACTACAGTGTTAACTTTCCAGTGCCTGGGCTGATCTTTTGCCTGAGATGGCATAGTAATCATGGTAAATAATTACTGTTTATGTAATGAGAACAAAATATTTATGGGAGTTTTCTGTAAGGAAAGACTCTCACCTTGGAAGCAGTATTTCAGCAGCCAGAATGTTTTTTAGTTTTATACATACTTCAGTTCTGTTAACTGCTCTATAAAATGACACAGCACATTCCATCCTTCAGTAAGTTGTACCAAGTAGAGTTCATTTTTAAAAGCCTGTGATCAGAAGTCCAAATGGGGTTACTCAATTGGTGGTTGATCTATACAGTGAGTTGCATTTTGAAAACTCTTAGAATATAAATGTATTATTTGCTTAAACTATTTAATGGTGGCTTTAGTTCAGCTGACAGTACTTTTTAAGGGGCCTGAGTGACCTGCAAGCCTTTAATACCTTCAGTTGGCCAATACTATTCTAAGTAAATATGTTAAAAAGTACAAGGGTTCTGTCTCCATCTGAGTGTCTCACATGGCAACACAAGGGCTCCTGCTTTCCCCAGCCACTGGGCAAACTCACTGTCACTACCTACCTGGCTAGAGCAGTGACTCTCCATCCCTTTAATTCCTTCAGAATGGCAGCAGAGATCTTGGGATGCAGCATCACGAGGTCTTTTTCTGGTCATCTTTTATTTCTGGAACTGCTTTATGTCACTCTTAATTCAACCCAGTTTATAATTAAACTAAAATCAGATCACCATACAAATTAAAA